ATCAAGTTTTGGGAGAAATTTGCTTTCGTGGGGGACTTTTTGATGGAACTAACCCGCATTTGTGTTGCATAGAGAAGACCACGAGAACCTCACACGGTTAGCCGGACGACAAGGGGACTCTAACCCATGATCCGAATACCACTGAGGATATTTCACGTCAGCACTGTGGTCGGTGCAAGACGGATGCAAAATTTGTATCGATAATAAAAAGTTTACTGATATCAAGTTAAAAATTATGAAAATTTATATTTTTCAGGTAATTAAATTTTTTGTTTTTTATTTGTAAAAATAAGAATAGGCCAAGAAAAAAACTTTTGCATCATTCATATGGTAATTTTTTTTGTATTTATAATCTGGGTAATTTTCAAAATTTCCTGCTAATTTTGCGAACAAGTAGTCCTATTTATAATCTTTATAGAGTCTGGCATATTAGTTAAATTATCAAGATGGAAGCTTAAAAATTTTTTGTAATGCAATGGATGATCATCAGTCATTAATCCTCCAACTTCTATTGATTTTCCGTGAATGCTGTTGAAAGATTTTTTTCAGTAGTAGCCATATTATGATGTCACATTATAATTCCTTACTAATTGATTCTTAGTTTAATATAATTGATTCAAAAGAATTTTGATCACCACTATATACAGTGGCATATAGCAAATATTTTCCTTGGAGACTAAGTTATATTTATATAAGATAAGCTTAATACTTACAAAAATGAAAAAAAAATAAATTCAAATCTAACACTAAGTATACGATAATCAACCGAACAAATATAAGCAATAGAAAGTTAAAATAAAAAAAACTAAAATACGAAATTGTAAAATAAATGTTAAGATTATGCATACAATTAATAAAATTCTTAAAAATAAAAATTCCCAAAAAATAGTACCGAATAGTCATAACCATTGACGATTGCTAATCTTTGATCATCAGAGCCAGATAAAATATAACTCCCATTTTCATTCCAACAAATACTGTTCACCTGTAAAAATATCATACTTCAAAAGATAATATTAAATGTTATGAAATACCATATTAATTACAATATTTAATAAACACAAAAAATGAAGAGAAATGATAAAAAAAAAGTTAATTTACACATCCAGAATGAACAGGTATTTTTCTTTGAAGTTGCAATTTCTGAACAAAGTCTCTGCTGTCTGAAAAGAAAAAAAAAAAGTATAAATCAAAAAATATTGTTAAAAAAAAATCGCAAAGCTAAATACAAACTTTATTTTTAAAAAAAAACGAAATCGAATTAATAAAATATTTTTTATTTAGAGGTATTTATTTTTGGTCAATTGAACTTGTTATTAGGAATAAATAAAATTTGCTTTCAAAACTTAAGTGCTCATTCAGTTTTGAATTCTACAATTGGAGTTTTCAAACACAAAATTCGTATTGAGTAAAGATGAACAGGAAAAGAAAACAAGTTCTGCTTCATTACAAAAAACAGGAAGAAATATATTTTAAAACAGAAAAAAAACTTAGAAATTTCAAATATTTTCTGCCAAAAATGCTAAATAACTGTAATAAAGGTTTTATGCTTACAAATGCAATTCATATAAATAAATCAGGCAAGAATCAATACACATTTTAAAAAAAATGAATTTGGAGACCTCTCCATAGAAGTTTCTGACAATTTTTGTTTCCATAATGTTATCTATGCCAAAATGATGGCCAAGTTTTACAAACTTCAAGGCAGTGGCTCGCAAGATGTAAAAAACGCAAAAATCCTGAAGAAGATTATTTCATAAGGTTTAACTTATAATCACCCCTGGGAAAACCTATAAATATTTTTTTTATTATTATTTAAATTTGCAAGTTTAAATTTTTTAGGCTACTTTTCAATTGTAGTTGGCACGACAGATCAAGAAAAAAATTACTCCCACAAGGAAAAAATTTAATTAAAGTAGAATTTCTTTTCAGGAATTCCAGGTGAGGAAAAGTAGAATTCCATTTTAATTTCTATATCACGTCCAAGTTGATTTAAAACCAGCATCCAAGCACACAAAACCTTTTACAAAAATAACAACATTTATTATTGCTACTTTAGTAATGATAATATATATACATTTATTAGAAAAATATATGTTTTACTAATGTAATAACTAGATTTTATTAGAAAATTTATAATAAAAGTAACTTTTTCTATCTAACAAGGTTTTACAATAGCATATGTCTATGCCATAGACATTAGCCAACTATGATTATTAAATTTAACTTTTAAAATTTTTAATTAATCCACTGTAGCTTAACTTAAATTTGCAGAACTGTCTCACTAAATTTATCTGCATGTAATCTCTTATTAATTAAAAAAAAAAAAAAAAAAAAACTGTTTCTAACTTGTATAATAAGTAGACATTTTCTTTTTTTAAAAACATTTAATTTTTCTATAAATAAGTCTTTTTTGGTTATACATTAACTTAGGAAGCCTGATGATCAACAACAGTTTGGAATGCGCATCTGTGCTTTTCTTCGCTTTTTACGAGCCTGTCTTTTTCCTCTCACTCCCAAAGCAGATCAATTCAATTAATTTGTACACTTCATTTTTAATTTAATTAATATAGAGGAACTCAAAGAAAATATAAGACTTAAAATAGCATTTTTTAAAATTATAAAAATTCCTCAACTTTAAATATTGAAATACATATTGTTGTCAGGGTAGTAACCAAAACTCTAACTGATCATAAAATGTAGATAAAAGAAGAGTATTTTAATTAAGGAAAAAAAACAGAAAAGAAAAAAAAAACTATCGTTTTCAGGAAAAACCTCACTTTTTGCAGCATCAAACAGCTGAAACTTTTTAATGCATTCGTAAGGAGAGTTATAGATATGCGAAAATAAATTATTTCTTCTCAACTCTGCCATTTTTACAGAGATTGGAAATTATATTATTGTCTGAAAAACATTATAAACCATGTTTTGTTTATTCTCTTGTATATACGACTTAAAATTGGTAATAAATCGTTTCGATAACAAAACAACTATTTCGTAAATAAACAAAGACAGAAGCCAATGTCGATTTTATTTTTAGCAGTTACAGCTATGCTCAAAACAATCCAAATTTTAGATTTTTTATAAGCATTAACTTATAATGATAAGCATTTTTATAATAAATAGACAGAGAGTAAGAAAGAGAGGGATTATTGAACGGAAAATCAAAAATGATCAAAATAGTCAGCCTTTATTTTGAATTCCATATTGTTCATAAGGTAGTTTGGCAACTGTGACATCCACGTGCTTTTATTTATTTACTTCTTGATATACCTGCTGGTATGTCATTTATCATCTAGCTCTTTATATAATTTAATTTTTCAATTTTTTAAGTATATATTTCGTCAAATGAATTAAAATGATTGTTTGCTGATGGATTTCTTTATATTAAATATAAATTTGGTTGTTGAATGGTTTTTATTTGATTCCAAATTTCATGTTTGATAAATATTTCTTTTATGTTATTAACAGAAAAGCATCGCTAATTTTTACGGTATATTACCTTTCTAGTTATGACCAATAACTCTGGGAGAACCTATCGCAAAAGAAGAAGAAAATTAAACCCATCTTGTAATGCTAACTTAAATATACATGATCAAAAATATTTCAATTTACTTTGTCATTGGATGGGAACTAAAGGATTCAAGCCTTTGAAGAGATTATGCCCGATGATTTTTAAAGGTGAGTTTCTCAACGAAATATTGGTAATAGCAAAATGTATTAATACCCAATAATGTTAACAAAAATTGAAAAAGGAAAAGAAACTATGTTTAGTGCAAGAAAGCCTATTAAATTGCGGACAATTTAACAAGTTATTCTCAATATAATGCGCAAAGATACAAAACTATTTCAAAGAGCAGTAAAAATTTTTCTTACTATTGACGCCAATGATACTTAGTTAATTGTGGTAATAGGTATTTTGGGGATATTTCCGTACCGTGATCTGTCACGATAAATACAATCGCCAAGGTGCCAAATAGATTTTAAACTTGAAATTGAAAACAAACAAACATGTGATGTTTCATTTTAGTTTATCTTGGGTTACTACCCAGAAGTTGCCAAGACTTGGCGATTATTCTGCCACAGATCACAATACTGAAATCTCCCTGGCATTTTATTTGGAATTTTCAGTATCGGTATATGCACCAAAATAATCAATCACCAAGATTTGGTGCTAACTGGGAACTGGCAAAATAAAAAGGGTGCAAACTTGAAGGGCATAAATGGTGGCCATGTAATATTTTTTAAAATGTTTTACAAGTTAAAACCATTTGGCTTCTTATTGGTCTCAACTGGTACCGATTCAGAAATATATATGTAGTATAGCTTTTTATTTTTTAATGTTATTTTTTAATTATTTATGTAATGTGTTTAAATTACTACTTTCATGACTCGTGTTTGTAAATATGTTATAATACTAAATTATCAATTTGCTAAATCATTTAAATAAAGGATCATAATAGGAGTGGCTATCTCTACTCAAAAACCTGATCTGTGTAAACATCTGAGCATTTCGAATCAAATGATGTTAAATATTATCATGTTAAATTTATCATGTAAAATAAAGTTTTTATGATTTAATTTCAATTATACCTTTTATGTTCTTTGACTTTGATATGTAGAATTTATCTTCCTGAAAGATAGCTGCAGGAATATTTCTCTTTTTGTATCTTTTTGCTTTAACTGAAATTGTCCAACGGCCAGGTGAAACTGCCCAGTTGTTGTACTTGAAAGGAATTAAAAAAAAGGGTACAGGATTCGGGTGTGAGTTTATCCTTTGAGTTTGTTCCAGTCTTTATTTTTTAGTTTCTTTTGTGCCATTGGCTTGTTGTTGTCAAAATTGATAAATATTTTGGTGCAGATACCTAAATGGAAATTTTCTCAAAGTTTAATTGGCTAAAAAGGGACATTAATATTTTGCTTTTTTGTTGTTTAGAATCTGGTAGAGGTTTGATGGCTAAAGAAAGAATTTCTGGAGGTGATGTTATTGTTGCAATTCCTGAAAAATTGCTAATAACTCCTGTCAAAGTTTTATCATTATACTTGGGTGATTATTTTGAAAAGTAAGTACATCAATATTTTTCAGGTCTCAAAATTTATGTTTCTCATCATGCCTGGGCAAATAAAAATTTCGATTAGGTTAAATAACCTTGCACAAATTATGAAAAAAGGTACTATTGAATTGTTTGAGCATGTATTTTATGAAGTAAAATACTCACTAGGGGATATAAGTCCATAGAATATATGTCCGATTTGATATTTTTCAAGCTCTGATATTTACTAAACAGCTTAATTGCAGTATTTTGTCTTTAATCTCATTTTAATAAAATGAAGGAAAGTAACATGCCATTACAATAAAAGTTTGTAATTGGATGGCTTTGCTAAAAAAAAATTTCAGCAACATATTTTTGAGAAACTTTTCATTGTTAAATAATAGTGAAATGTAGAAATGAAATTGCACAAAGCATAAACCTGCAATCAAATATTTAGCTGGTAAACTGCACCAACTGAAAAGTGCACAAATTTCCTGTTTTCATACTATTTGGTGATCACTGCTTTTATTATTATTTTTTTAAAAATATACAATAGTTTTTAGTTATTTTATGCTTATTTTCATTTGATGTTTCTTTGTTAAATAACATGTCAACACCCACTTATGTGTCGATAACATGTCACACCCATATGTCAAAATTATTAATCTTTTTTCTTTTTGTTCGATATATTTTTAAACAACAGGAAAAAAAATTACACAATAGAATTAGGTAAATTGATTTAACGCACTGAGTTTTAAAGGTTTGCCATCACTTATGAAGTTACCAATTTCCTGTTGATTTAAAATTGGATCACAAAATATGCTTATTTTCACCCAAAATATCTTTTCGTTATTTCTATGGATAGCCTTTTGGGATAATCTAGTGTTTATGCAATGTGTTTCATTCCGAAATGATAATGATTTATTTATATTTATACTATTTAAAATTCTAGTTTTGCTATGAGATTTTTTTTCCTTATGCAGTAAAAGTTCATATTAAGGACAATTCACAGTAGCTGATCAAATTTTTGAAGTAGTAAACTTTTAATGAAACACACATTTAGTAAAAAACTGTAAAAACAAATTTCTAAATTGTTATAAGTTTTTTCAAACTGTGTCTAAAAATGAAATAAAGTGCAATTGCTTTAAAATGTGCAAAAAAATTAAAAGAAAAAAAACTATTCAAATTTTTTTATAACTGAAAAAGATAAGAGTCTGGTGCTTGTCTGTTTGTTTTATAAACTTAAAGGGTTACAATTGTAAGAAGAAATTAATAAGTTTAAAGTAATTTTCCAGGATATTGAAATTATGTTCATTTTTCACTTTTCTTTATGGATACTAGAAATAAAAAGAAATATGTTCTGTTTATCCCTTTTTTGTACAAACAAGAAAAAAATATATTTCTCTCAACGATTTGGTGTAAGGATGATATTTTTTTAGCTTGTTATCAGATGTATCTGTATACAATGTAAAATTGTATTAATTTTTTGTATTTTTAATTACAGCATTTTGGTGTTAACTTAATATAGTCACAGACTTTTCCTAATATGCTACATGTGTTGCATTGAACTTTTAGTGTATATGTTTAGATGTGTGTTAATGGTTACATATCATTTAGCTAAAAACAACTTTTATTTTCAGGTATTGTCCCGATGCTTCTGGTCACGAGATACTTAGTGTTTTCTTAATGTATGAAAGAGTAAAATTCCATAGTTCTGAATGGTATCCTTATTTATGTTCCTTACCAGAGTCTTATGATATTCCAGCTTTTCATGATGGTTACCCAATCTCTAAGCTACCAATTAATATTTCATCACTTGCAACGAAGCAGATGGAATCTGTAAAAACTGCTTACGAAAAACTAAATTTACTTTTAAAACATTTAGAACAGTCACATCCTATATTTCACAATACTTTAAATTTCAGTCTTTATAAATGGGCTTGGTGTACTGTTAATACTAGGTGTGTACATATGGATTGTTTTCGAGAAAATTGTCCTGGAAAGTTTTGCACTTTTCATCTAGCATTGGCACCTTATTTAGATTTGCTTAATCATAACTGTGAAGTGCAAGTAAATATTTTAAATGTTTAAAAATTTTTTTTTACATCTCGGTTTGTTCAATTTTAACTTTGTTTCTTTATTTTGTTTAGGTAGTAGCTGGATATAATTCTGAAAGAAGACAATACGAAATTAGAAGTTTGTGTGGTTTTAAGAAATATTCTCAAGTCTTTATTAATTATGGGCCTCACAATAATTATACTCTTTTAATTGAATATGGATTCATTGTGAATCAAAATCATAATCATTCCGTAACATTTTCTAGTGGTAAGTTAGTTTCTGTAGCAAGATTTCTGAAAAACTTATGTATTTGGTTATGTAATCAAAATATGTGTTTTAAATTATTTTTACTGAAATGGTTTTATGTAGTGTTATGTTGGTATGAACTATATATTTCATATAGTTCTTTTAAATAGGAAAAATATTAAATATTTTTTGCCTATTTGGTGTTTTAAGTAATGCATGAACTTCTGTTATATAGGCATTTTGAATATTTCTGAAAAGCATAGTGCATACTTTGTACTGTGTAAACTAAAAAAAGAAAAAATTGTGAATAAAGCACAACTAAAACTTTAGAAATGGACATACTATAGTTTTAGTTCTAAACACGAAATTACAATAGAGAAGTGAAGAGACAAACATGTGCAAAGTGGCTTAACCGTTAGGGACAGAGGGCTAAGTTTGAACAAAATAATAAAAGGAGCAAGATAAAAAAACAAGTGTAAGGGGGTTTGGCGTGAACCTCTGGGTGCAAAAAGTTAAATTAAAATAGATTTCTAAACATTGGAACAAGTTACTTGAAAGATCAATAACTGAACTATTAGAATTTTGAAAAATATGGAATGATTTCCAGAAATCATTCCATATTTTCGGTAGATGCAAAGTAGTGTTGAATGCATCGTAAGCAAGTGCATTTATGTTATTTAAATTACTAAAATGTTTGTGACATAATTTGTATAAATGTTGCATAATTAAGCTCTTTTAATAATTGCTTAGATTTTAACAATGATTTTTATCACAGAAATATGTGCTCTTTTAATTTAATAAACACTATGCTTCTATTATATGCAAGAAAAAATTAAAATCACATGATCTCGCCATTTTAAAGTTTTTGCACTTCATCTTACTTTTGAGTTATATGTTTATGCGTATACAAAGTATTATGCTTATGTTCTTTTATGCATGTTTTAGTAAATAAATATAAAAAATGATACTTTAAAAGTATTTATACTGATTCATTGGTTAGTTACAATTTTTCTTACAAAGTTACAAAAATCTTACAAGGAATTAGTAATTAGTTAGCTAAGAATAAATGAAAATCTTTGTATCCAAAACCTCCTAAACATGGTTTATTTAACGTTAAATACCTAAAATGTTGCTAATTTTAAAATATTCATTATCAAATTAGACTTTTTTAATTTTGCTATTTTAAACTTGTTAAATTTTTTTTAAAAAATAAGGTAAAAAACATAGACTGAATTTTAATGCATTAAAAAAATATAAGAATAAAACTATTTGGTTTTTCTAGGAAAGTGCAAGTGTAAGAAAAAGAAAATATTATTTCATCAATTTTGCAGTAATTTGCTTATAAAAATGCTTCTTTTCTCCTTAAAAGAAAGCCCAATAAAACCGTTTAAACTCTCCTGAAATAAATAAGATAAATGAAGCTAATTTAAATTAAAATTAATCCAATAAACATGTTAAAAAGTTCAAGTAATTTACTTAATGTTTTATTAAAAGAAATACTATCAGTTAACATTATGTTAAAAAATCTTGTGATTTTCAGAAAATAAAGTAAATTTTTTTTTGACTTAACTTTTAAAAAAAAATTAAATAAAAAATGTAAAAATGATCTTTTTAATGTTTAGAAATATTCAATAATTCTAATGCTTTGTCATTTTCTATATTTTAATTTTTGATTTTATTTTTTATTAAAAATTGCACCAACTTCAGCTATTATTTAAATAATCATAAAATTTTGCTCAAATTTTATAATTCATGGTACTATTTTAATCATGTTTCATTTTATTTTTCACTATATTTAGAGGAAATTCTTGATGCATGTAAGCAGTGCCATTTTATTTCATCAGTATCAGAAAAACTGAAATTTATTCTCAGTAATGATATTTTAAGGTAAGAATATTTTTAAAGAAATTTATGTCTATTCTAAATTCATATATTACTCAAATGTTCTTAAATTGTGATTGAAATGGAATTCATTAAGTGACATTTAAATATTAATTGAATTAAAATTAAAAAAAAAAAAGCACTGTAAAAGTTTTATAATTTTGTGGTTGTGCAGACACCAATTTTAATTTGGGCAATTTCGTTAGGATTGAAGTGTGCTTTCTTTGTTAAAATATTAACAGCTGGTATTTTGGGTTTGGTTTATGCCCATTCATTTATCTTGTATCTGTAAACACTAGCTGAAAATGTTTGCAAACATTAGTTTAACAGTCAATAGCTAAACAAAATTTTCCCGACAATGGTAAAAAATATTGAAGTCTTAAAAAAAAACATTAAAATTTGTTTGTTCCCATGATTTTGTTTATTCAGCCTATTTATTTATGTCTTCTTTCTAACTCACGTTTAAATATAGTCATGCTGTAACTTAATTTTATTCTAGACAACTTTTCTTCCTTTTGTGTTTGGGCATTGATAATGTTGCTTGTTTATGCTATCAAAATAGCTGTATGTCTGCTTTCACAAGTGATCATTGCACTTTTTTTTCCTGCTGCCTAATTTACATTTTGTACTGCTGTATCATTTCACGTAACTTACCTGAAATATTTTTCTTCCTTTTGCGTTTTAGAATTGATGAGAATACTTCGTTGTTGTATTAAAACAACTGTTGGTTTTAACTATTGTCATATGTGATTATTTCCTTGTTTTTTGCATTGCATATCTGAAACTTATTTTTCTTTTTTCTGTGTTTTATTGATGAGGATGCATTTTAGTAGTATCAAAGCAACTCTATATATTTGTTACTGTCACATATGATCATTACATTCTTTCTTTTGCATTTCTTTACCATTCTACATTACTTACATGAAATATTTCTCTTTCGTTTGTGCTTTAGCATTGATGAGGATGCATCTTTGTAGTACTAAAACAACTGTATTTCTTAACTTTGTCACTACATACATTGTTTTTTTTTTAATTACATTTTACATTATTTTCCTGGAATATTTCTCTTCTTTCTGTGCATTTATTAGGGTGCGTCTTTGTGGTATCAAAACAACTGCATATCGTAGCTATTTCCATATATAATCATTACATTGTTTTTTTTGTCAGTTTTTATTACATGAAATATTTCTCTTCCTTTTATGTTTTAACATTGATGAGGACGCATCAATATCAAAACAACTATGTCTTAACTGTTGTCACAAGTGATTATTACGTCCCCCCCCCCATTTCTTTACCATTAGCATTGTCTACTTGGAACATTTATCTTCCTTCTGTTTTAGCATTGATTGCTAGGATGGTTGTTTATTGCCTGAAAACAAGTCAAAACATGTATGTCATATGTATTTTCACATGTGATCATTACATTGTTATTTTGCTTTACTTACCAGGAATATTTCTTTTTTTTTTGTGTTTTGCCATAGATTGAGATACTTCCTAATATCAAAACCCTTCTATTGTTACATCAGATTTGCATTTATGAAATTTTCTAGGGAAAAATCAATTAAGGGGGAATTTTAATTATTTCATTTAGAGAGAAAATATTAGCATAATGTTTCTGTTATCTTACTCTTTATTTTGTTGTGTGTGTAGAAGTGGAGTATTTGTTTACTTGTTGCTCAGTTAAGCAGCACCAACATAATTTGTATAAATTTTTTTTAAAGTTATTTTCTTAATTTACATTTTTGTATGTGCTTTTACTGAAAACTGAGTATTAAATTAATGATGACAAGTTTTTAAAGGCTTAGCTTTAAGCTGAAGTTATTTATGTACTTTTTAAAAAATTTAATATTATGTGCAGAAAATATTATGAAATGAAAAGTAAGTTCAATAAAATTACTCTTATTACATTTGGTTTAAAGTTTTTAAAATTTTGCTTGTATGTGATTATTACTAAAATGTGTCATATGCTAGTTACTAATAATTTTTGTGCATAATTTTATTTTAAGGTAGTAAAAAGATATGTAAAAAAATTTGATAGCTTTAGTTTTAGAAATTAATTTACATATATATTTTAAATAATTAAAGATAACTGCATTGTCCACAGCTTGAGAAATTACATGAGGTACAAGATACAAGCACAATTATTACAATTGAACATTGCAAATGAGTTAGCTTTTTTAAAGATATTTTTAATTCAACAATTTGCTTTTCTCATACAATCTTGTCTTTATGATTTTTTAAGATTAAAAATGTTTGATTTCCTTTAACATAAATATTTCTACAGCCAAAGAGAAATAAAAAAATATAATATTATATTGTCACTATAAATTAAAAATAAAGCATTTCTGCAAAGACTGTGCTTTATCCTCAAATGTATAGTAAGTATATCATACTTAATATGCTTATCTTTTGTATGTAATTTTAACAGGGTATGTTTTTATCATTGTGAATCATGATAATTTAAATTTGTTGTTACAAGTACATTGCAGTTGTAGTTTATTTAACATAGAGTTATTATTTTTTTAGCAATGCTGTCTGTTCACATGATGGTCTGAGCTGGAATTTAGTTGTAATTTTGAGAATTTTGACGTCAGAAAACCAATTAAAGTAAATATTTCATTGATAAAATAGTTTACTACCATGGTCAGGGAATGATCTTGAAATCCAGGGGCTGTAGGCAGAAAATTGTCAGGTGGTGCTGCTGATTGTAACTTTAAACCAAATTTACTTGTTGTTTGTACACAAAAGACTTTTAAATTTTTTGTAACATAAGTAAATTATGATATCTTAGTAAATTTGAGCTAATATTTATTCAATTTTTGCCAGCTAATATTAATTATAGACAATTCTTAAGGAGAAACACACAAAAAAATTATTTGATTATTTAGGGGACCCCCAGAAAAGTGGGGGCCCTAAAGCCCAGGCTTTATGATAAATCAGACCCTGACTATCATATGAAAGCTATTACTACTTGTTTTATTGTGCTTTTTACACTATATGGTTAGAAGATTTGTGCTGTCATGCTACAGATTCATTGGTACCATCTTTCCTGGAAAAAAAGAAAGGAGACAGTTTTGGAATACTGACTCTATTTACCGACAGCTGGTTTCAAAGTCCTGTAGCCTTAACTCTCATGACTTCGGCCGATAACTGACTGTTTCCAGAGTGATTTATTTCTAAATATTATTTTTAATTTAAATTGGTTAGATTAATTATTTTAAAACATTACTTTTATAAGTTTGTATTTTTATGACAAGTTACTAACGATAAATTTAACAAATTATAAACTATAATGTTTACTGAATAATCCTAATGCAAAGCTTTAACTTAATTTGATTAAATTTCATATTTTTGCAATACATTGTTATGTATTTTATACTAACTTTATAACCAACCATTGTCATCATCAGGGTGACAGCACTGGATAGGCCCTGCCCTTCTTGAGGATTCTCTACCATTCTGACCTCTTCTTACACGCAATTCTTTGGTTTTGACAGTTCAGTACAAAAAAGTTCTTATCTATAGAATCGGACTATCTGAGTTTGGGTCTTCCCCATGGTAGATTTTTAGATCGTCTATTCATGAAATTCGTTTTAGATGTATATTGATCCAGTGACTGCGTTAGATGGCAAGAACTTTTCATCCATTGAAATTTGATACATTTAGTAATGTCATGTTCCTTATAAAGGTGGTAAAGTTCATGTTGAATTTTCTTCCCCATAGTCCGTTAATCGGGACTGCACCGAAAATACTTCGAAACATTTTTCTTTCTAATTCACTTATTGTACATTCATCTTTTGAGGTTATAGTCTATGATACTGAGGCATATGTAAGTACAGATCTCTTAAGTACTTTATATAGTAGTATCTTGGTACTAAAAAATCTAAGGATACTAGACCTCAGAAATCTTTGTATCCAATGTTTTGATCTAATATCTTTAAGACTTAAAGAAGCACATTGTGGTTGCTAACTAGGGAGTCACTACTTCTCATGACTATTTTACATGGATACTTATTTTTCTTCAATTGTTCCCCCTGTTTAATAGGGAAGTATATGGGTTTTAACCAAAGCTTGTTGTGTTTTCATCTTCAAGACAAACGTTTCTGTGTTGATGATTATTTTAATAATTAGACTTTACTTGGTTGATCAAGGGGAGTTATGGTTCTTGGATTCACCCCTAATGTAAAGGTAAATAATCAGTCTTCATAATCAATGCAAACCAAACGGTTTTTACATCTAAATGTAAGAAAATATTTGAATAAAAAAGTTAGCACAATTAGCGACTGACAATTCATGCATAGTTAATTCTTTATTAGGATAAATCAACAAGTGAAGGAACACTACCCAGTGAAGGAACATTTCATATATATTGATTAGAAATAAGAATTTGAAAGTTTTTCTTTAGATTGATTGGTAACAATAGTTTACTGCCAAACAATAGGAAAGCAATGTTTTGGATTACCTGTTCAAATAGACTTCTCTGGAGAAATTTTTGAATTTGTTATTATCTCTGCAACGCCTTGTTTCTTTAAAAAAATTATAAGGTGAGAGTTTGTATTTATATGTTTGAAGTGGAATTAATTGCATGTAATAGTTTTATTTTTCTCACTGTGAAAAAGAGAATTCAAAATATAGTTATTGAAGTTACGTTTTATTTTTTTTAAGCATCATAGCATAATAAAGTACTGAGATAAGGGGGTGTTTATTCACTGGATCACCAAACGATGAAAAACCAGTGAAGGAACAAGTGTTCCTTTACTGGTTTTTTTTCTAAGTTAATGAAAATAAAAGATAAACTTTAATTTTCTTGTACCTTTAGTGATGTTCCGCATCAAAAGTGTGTTAAAAATACGAAAAACAACTTCTAACCAGTGAGCGAACAGGCATAGATTACTGGGCATAGATTTCCCAGTGAATGAACAGTATGTGTTAATATGTTGACACTTTAATTTTCAATTCATGATTACAAAAAAAAAGTTAACATTTTCCAAGTATTTATATGTTATAATTTCAAGAATCGGCTTGTCTTTAAATATTTGTATGACTTATAAATTCACAAAGAGCATTAAAAAATAACCAAAATTAAGTGTTCCTTTACTGGGTGTTCATTCACTGGTAAGAGCTGTTCCTTCACTTGGTCTTCTTACTACTTGTTATTTGATCCTCCAAAACTTTAAAACAATATTATGTAAGTTCTCTACAATTTTTTTTTACATAATTTGCAATTAGTAACAAATATGTTGACACTGTCATTTAACTAAAATTACAAATTTTGAAATTAATATGATTTTTTAAAAGGCAGTCGAAGCTTAAGTGTTCCATCACTGGTTAGTTTACCTTATTAGAAGTAATTAAAATGTTAATATGCACATTAAATCTATTACTACTTTTACACTTACAAAAGAGAAAGTAGAATTCTGTTTATAAATTAATTCAGAAATATAAAAGAAAGTGTTAACTGGGAGCATTTTAAATACAGAATTTCAAGTTCATTGCCATTTGTTAGGCCGGAGATTTTACTAGAATTTTAGGTCCATGAACTATCAGAGGTCTTAAGGTGAAATATTTCATTCATTCTTCTGGACTAAAGGAAGCAATTACAAGATTATAAGCGTGGAATAAAGGAAGTCGTTTTCGTAAAATTCAAACTGTTATGTAAATGAATGTGTCATCACATTTATGACAATGAAAGGAAAGCATGTGACATGAGTTGCAGAGAGAAAGAAAATTGACAAGCAAAGCCCTAAAGTCTTGGTAAAATAAAAATAGCTACATGTGACTGCATGCGTTAGTCAGATATAAAAGAACAGATTGTTATGAACCATCATTCTGAATAAATAGTTTTTTTTTATACATGTACATTAATTATATTTAGGAGTTGATTAAACTTTGAAATACATCAAGTAATGAAACAACTAACAAAGCATTTAAGATTGTTGATGTACTGAAAAGGAATGGGATAAAACTGATGAGTTGATGGTATATGTTAACCACTTAAGTTTAAAAATAAGATCATACTTTGAAAAACATTTTATACATTTCTATGGTGTTTTTAACTGATTTGATAAAAGCTTTAAAATAAGTTCCTTTTGTTTGGTTTTTAAATTTTTATTATGCTGTAAAACTGATAAAAACCGTTTATATACTAATTAATTTGTGCAGATGATATTTTAAGTTACGAAATTAGACGAATTTACATACCCTCTGAATAAACATACCTTTTTTTTTACATATTCGGACTCTTGACCCTCAAAATAAGGAAGACAGATAATAAGGAAGACAGATGACCCTCAAAATAAGGTAGTCAGGAAAATATGATCTCAATAGTTTGGCCAAAGGAGCATTTAAAACTTTTGATCCCTGAACCATTTTTTAAAAATTGGTCTTTTTCTCTTGGCTTAATTATTTTTAAAACAAAAATGGTAGGCTTTAACTAAAACATAAATGAATCACTAAGAAAAAGTAATAATTTCACAGAACAAAGTAATAATGCGGCCCTAGGTTGGACAAAGCCTGATATCCGGAAATTTATAGAGTCAGATCGAGTTCAATATAGGACCGCAAGCGCTTTATTTTAACTTTACTTTTTGTGTACTTCTCCAGAACTAATGAAACGCGTAAAAATATTTTTGCACACGATTATAAAACTCCTGTACATTAATTTAATGCAAAAAAAATAATTATAAGATTAAAATTTTTTATTAATTTTAATTGTGAGCTTAAAAACATATAATTTTAAAGTAAATAAATTTTTACACCATTTTAATTTGCATAGTTTTAAATATGTAAATCTCAAATGTTTTTCTTATTTTAAACTACACAGTTTTAAATTACAAAATTTAAAATTTTGTGAAAATTGGTTGATTAGTGCTTGAAAAATCTAAAAATACGACTTATTTGATATAGCGGAATACACAAAAAGTTAAATTAGCATTAAAGAGCCCGTCCGCTTTCCTGCTTTAAGTATTGGCACCATAATAAGAGATTCGAATATGTCGAAATAAAAGATATGTTTATCTGGCAAAAGATAGTTTTATTATACGAATTCATAATTTTTTTTAATTTATTTATTTTAATAATAGGGATTGGAAATCTATTTTACATGATGGTTCAAAGTTGTCTGCTGATGAATTGAACTATGAGACGTTGAAGAAAAATCTATTGAGCATAAAGATTAATGATTATAATTTTGTTTATGATACGAATTCAGTTGCATATTCATATCTTGAAAAAATTATCGAAGAATTATCATCAATTGATAAATTGCTTTTAATAAAAGCTTTAAAATAAGAGATTTTGTCTGATGTTTTATTTTGTTGTCCCTTTTAGTATTTTTTTTTTTGAAAAAAAAAATGATATCTTTTTATTTTAACAAGTCAAGAATATTTTCCCAAAGTTAATAATACAGTAAATATAGCTCAGAAATTGACAAAACGAACCCTGGCAAGTGCATCGCTTACACCACCCTCTTTACAAACGACGCTGGTTGTCACCACTGTTTATTTATAATCATACACCGATCGAAACAGCTCCAGATTATAGACTGGCATTTCGTGTGTACTTGAATAGGTATCTTAAGTATTATAAACTAACTGTTTCTGGATCTATTTCAATGTAATCTTTAAAAATGATCATTAGGAAACAAAAATGATAATGTAGTTGAGTTTTGCCACCAAATTAATTTTAGACTCCTCATGCTCGTGATACCCAGTAACTTGGAGACTTTCCCACAGAAAAAAAAAGTTCAAAGCTTGTTAAATGGGGTGAACATGGGGGCCACTTAGCAACTCTTTCTGAGTGTTTCTTGGTGTACAAAGATAGGATACACAGCACAACCTAAGAGCGTACTATAATATTTCCTGTCAATGACTATTGTTATGCGATTCTCAAACATTATAATGTGCCGCTCTCTTAAAAATTTATCGCTACATTTTTGAGATACCATATATAATAACAAAGAAAAATAAGGGCCGGGATAGCCTGGTTGGTAGGGCAATGGGTCCACATCCAGAGGTCGTGGGTTCGATCCCTGCCGGACGAGGACTCCCCGTGTAGTAAATGGTGACTGATGCACGTTAAATCTGTGGAGTCTCAAAGTTCTCCATGTTCCCATAACAAATCAATACCTCTGGGGATACTGAGTTGGAGATTGATCGTTCTCTGATTCAGGTCAAAACTACTATCTGTGGATGGATGTATGAATGGGTACGCCCTATAAACGGGTGTGACGTATGGGTGTGGCAGAAGTCGAATTCTTGGCCGTAGATGGCGCTATTGGAAAACAAGAACTGCCTAAATGGCATACGTCAACAACAATAAGTAAAATAAGGAATATTGATTATTGCTATGGTAAGTTTATTATGTTTCCTTTAAGTTGATTTTGTTTTTCATTAAATATTTAGAAGAACTGTAGAATTTGTTACTTAATAGCATTTATTCAGTTTGTATAAATTGCAAACAAAGTAACTAATAACTGAAAAAGAAATTTGTTGTTTTGTGAATAAGGAAGAGAAAATGCATAGTTATACATGGTAGGGTTAAAATTGTATATTGTTGTTGTTGTTGTTCATTTATGTCGCACTAGAGCTGCACATTGGGCTATTGGCGACGGTCTGGAAACATCCCTGAGGATGATCCGAAGGCATGCCATCACAATTTTGATCCTCTGCAGAGGGGATGGCTTCTCCGCTTCGGTAGCCCGACGACCTGCACGCGAAGTCGAGCACTTTACGATAGAACAGTTTAACGAGGACCAATACCGCCCACCCTCGGTCCTTACGCAGACTGATCCAAGTGGTCACCCACCCGCACACTGACCGTAGCCAGTGATGCTTGACTTCGGTGATGTACTGGGAACCGTGTCTTAACGATCAGTCCACTGCGGGAAAAATTTTATATTGAAAATTATTAAACTTATATAGCAATATGACATAAAAAAGTAATGGTTTTAAAAACCGTTTCTTACTGTTGGAGGTGAATTTATTTGGACAGAAATATCTTGATAGGATTCCTTAATTAACAAAGATCAGGAAATCGAAATCATTGAGTGTTATCAATTTAATAATAGTTATTGAGGTATTTTACCTGAAAATTATACATCTCTTATTTAACAGTTTTTATATTAAGTTTTATTTTGATATTAAAGATATTAATATACAGTTATTGAAGTTGTCTTCGATTATTTTTATTAAATATTTAATTTGCTATTTTTTTTATTTGTTTTTTAAAATTGACAGTAACAGTCGTGACTACCTAATTCAAAGTTTCATTCTCATACAAAATTGAATACTTAAATCTAGATGTGTTATTACTTTGTAATGTTATAAAATAATTCTATGATGTAATTTGTATTTTAAAATTGACAGTAACAGTCGTGACTATCTTATTCAAAGTTGCACTCTTATACAAAATTAAATACTTAAAACTAGATGTGTTTTAATTTCGTTATGTTATAAAATAATTCCATGATGTTATAATGTAATGCAATATTATATGTTAAGCATGTTTAATTACTGTTGCATAATCATTCAATGTAAATAAATTGCATTTAATTTTATAACATATTTTATGTAAAATTTTGAACATTCAAAGCATGCAAATTAAAATAATTATTTAAAATTTCAAAGAAATATTATAAATTTACTTTTTCTACTACTGCTAAATTATCTCCTTTGCAAAAAACATTTATCGAGATTTTAAAGTGTCCAAATTTAAATAGGATTTTTTTAAGCAAAGTTGTATAAGTTGTAATGGTAACCGATCAGAGAAAATTATTAGGTTTAAATTTTATCCCAATGATCAAATCTGTGTTATTAGAAAGAACCTGTTTATCGACAAAAATTAAAAGTGAGTGGTGAGCGATAGGGAGGAAAGATACATCCCCCCTCCTCAGTGTTTGCATAAATTCCAATTCTAGTGATCTGATTCTTGATTTAATCTAAAAATGCAGTCGTTAAACTTTTTTACGTTTTTAAATAAAGGTGTTGACGTTTGCTCGAAGTATCTTGAAGAGCAAGAAGTTTTCGAGATATTTCTTGATCAAAGATCTTTCTCATTGTTGTTCCCTTCATTTGATCTTTTGTTCCATAAAATATGAGACAAATGTTGTCTCATAAAATAATTTGCTAAATATGATATCAGGGAAAAAATATAAGAATTTATTCGAATTTTCAACGCGAGCAGCTTACTTTAAAATTATGTAAATTAGATAAGAATACAATTTAGATACCATCATTTCAGATTACTTGGGTTTAAAAAATAGTCTTAAAATTATCTTTTTTTAATGCTTAAGTAGATCTCCATTGAGTACCATTTTTGATTCATTTCATTAATATGAATTAACTTGATTTATGAAAATCGAAAGAATGTCCCAACTATGAGATTATGATAAAGTTATTCAACTTAAAGCTGCAATACTGAAAATGTTATCTGCATTTCTAAAGCATATTGCCTAATTATTTAATTCAGATTTTTTTAAATTTAGTTCTTATCTACTCGTTTCCGAGTCTGGGAGGTTGGTTGTATTGGCGTTCCGTGTTTGGGGATAATGCAGATTTCATTCGTTTCCTGACCACTGCAATCAGAATTTATCGATATTCTATAGCCAAATAGAATTTATAGCCAATCACAGCTCAGACCATTTTCCGACTAAGTGGAGTTATCAAATCTTATCGAAAATCCATGTCTGATGAAAATACTAATTTCAAACTTTTCCTGACAGCGAAAAACGGAATTTATAGATAAATCGAATTTCTCATCCATCAAAAATTTTGAAAGATTTCCGGATAAGCTAATGTGCCTAAATTTCAAATGGAGCTCTGCTGAATAATAATACACACTTCAATTGCTTTAACATCGTTACTAACATAATTTATTTTAAATAGAAAATTAGAAAACCTTTCGTCAAAAACTTGCAGAAATCAAAATAAATATGTAAAATAATCAAGAATTATGTTTTTAAGTAGACTCAAACAATAAAAACCATTCTCTTTGCTAGATTAAAAACGAAAATCTAAAGAAGTGTCACTATCGTAATTGCCTTTCATCATCACTGAAAATTTGCCCCAGCCTTTCGAAAGTGATGTGCCCTACCCATGCTTTTTGTTTTAGATCTGACAAAAATAAAATTACTCTCTATTTACGTTTTTCAGGCAGACTAAAAAGTCTACCTGAAAAACGTAGTTTTATCTTATTATTATTCTATTCGTTTCAAACGGGATAAAATCCTTTTTTTTTTTGTCATTGAAAAAACGTTTTTGAATTGCTTCACTGAGTCTTTTTGAGGATTAGATTTATGGGTACCATGGTAACGGGGAGAGGGAAAAAGATGAAATCGAGTTAATTTGAAACGTTTGTTCTATTTACAAAGACTTTAAATAGCAAAAAGAAAGTAGAAAACGTGTCTGTCAGACTGACTCGTCTGGCAGAAATATTAGTACTACTTGATTCAAAAATGTAAAAGTACATAGAAGACTTATTAGAGAGTATAAGTTCGAAAATACTTAATGAAATATTTTACTTAAGAAAGATTTTGAATGTATTTAGCCTCTTCTAGAGTTCCTGTATCTAACGGAGTTAAGAAGTTACGACAATAAGTTTCAAAGTTGTCTATAAGAAAGAGAACCGGTTACCACAATTGGCGAAGTTTGTTTCAAACTTCGATTTCTCAGCATCAATATCATGTTTTCAGTGTTTTTCGAAGCTCTTTCATTAAGGAAAGTGAGAACGTCACAGTTAGTATTACACTTGAGGAGAAGCTTTAGTTTTAAATTATGAATACCATCTTGCTCTTAATAATAATCTTAGCTGTAGAACGGACAATGAAAATTATTAAAATCAATCAATAATTTTTAATATGTATAAAGTCTTATGAGTTCAGATAATGCCGCTTTGAAGCAACTTTTAATTTTTTCTTCTTCTTTTTAAATACTCGTATGAAGGAAGTCTTTTTAGGAATTATAAAAATGTATTCGATTTTGATTACTAAGAAAAGCTCATCTTCGTATATGAACTCATTACAATGTGGAAAATCCTTAGTAGAAACTAAAGAGAAAAAGATACTAATACTGGAAAGTCTTTTTTATTTTTCAAAAATACGTAAAAGCATTACATTTAACAAGACAAAAAATAGAGATTGCAAGGACATGAATATTTTTCATGCAAAAAATGAAAAACACATAATATTCTAGAATTGACTATCTTTGCATACAATTCGATAAATATAATTTTTATGTAGAGTTTTGTCACACTTCTATGAAAATATAAGTAAAATATAAATTTGCATATTTAATTACATGATTGATACATAACTATTTGAGTAAAATTAATGATTTAAGATTTTTTTACAAAAATATAATGAAATTAAGAGAGTATAATATATAATGATAGTTAATTTTTGAAGTTTTCTTGCAAGAATTGCTCTTTAACTAAGCAATCTATCTGGGATATAATAGTTATAATTTTATTAGATTCATAAAAATTATAACTTTTTAATTACCATCAATTTTACACAAAATTATGAGTCAGCAAACACCCAAATCGCAACTGAGTATTTAGTGCTAATAACTAATTTTTAATTATTGTTAGCACAACATTACAAAATATGACTTGGTAATTTAATCATACATAACTTTAAAATTAATAGTTTAAGATTCAAAATAGAATTGTTAGTTAGAAAAAATTGTAATTGATTCATTTCTGAAAAAATATTAGTTTTTAACCAGCAAATTGTATGCAATCATATCACACTCAAATTGGGTAATAAGATCCTAAAAATGACGAGGTCATCTAGAAAATAAGTTCATTTTGCAATTGTCATCTAGCAGCGCTGCCAATTTCAAGTGTGTTACCTGAATTTGTATATCAATCAGGATTTTAGACATTAGGTAGACAATCATAACGGGTTCTAATGTACGAATAAAATCAGCAAATTGAATTGCTACCAGCTTGTACGGTCGTTGAAAAATGTTTCTCTTAATGGTGAAAAAATTTGTGTTTTAAAAGAAATTGCTAAATTTACAGTAGTTCATTAAAATCGGCAAATAGTTCTTAAAATAGACAACTGGTTAAAAAATATACGAATAACATTTACTAGTTACGATGATGTGCTATTTCGTGGAGACGACATTGTTTTAATTTTTATATATTTTTTTCTTTACTAAAGAAATTCTCCAACAGCCAGATGTTGGGCAAGGGGCTATAGAGCTTAAAGCTGCACAATTTCTTTACCAACAGCATGATGAGCAACAGTAACGATGAACTATACTGTCATTTAGTAATATTGTTCTCAACGACCATACAAGCTGGCAATTATGAAATAGAATTAACCATTAAATTATTGAAAAGAACATAGTTCATCGAAAGATACCATAGCTGCTTACAAGCTTATTGACCCGAGGAACATTTTTATAAGACAGGTCTCACAGCGTCTTAAATTTTTTCATCTCATTTTGCAACCGAAAGTTTTTCTTTTTATGGAAAGAACGATCTTCTCCATTCCATACTAATATCTTTTTGCATCTATCTCCTAATAGTTATTCCTTTTTGGTCTATTTTATTCTCTATTAAGCGATCTTAATAGGTCTGGTATTTTGTTCCCCCCCTCCTGCGTTTGATAATTTACCTTTTTACCACAGAGTTAAAGATGATTTCGTTCCATTTGATTTTTACCTTTTTTTCTTTTAAAACCGAATAGTTCTTGTTTCTGTCAAAAGATTTCTTTTCACAGATAAAAAATTTTCGTTTTGGCAAAAGATTCAAGGTTGCCAACTTTGTCACCACAAGCACTTTTCGCCAAGATATCATTAAAAGTTGCATCATACTTCAGTATCAAGTTATTAGACTTCTAGTAAAGTATACTAGTCTATAGTATAGTAGCACTAGTCCAGTATACTAGTATGCTAGATCGTTATGACTAAAATGACTATGGCGAATAATGAGTTTGGCAATTTAGAAATAATAGCGTGTTTCGTTTCAATTGCATTTTCTTTTTATTTGGCGAGCTGAACTTACTTCTAGATACCTCCTAAAAAACAAATATGCATGCTTTATCTATTTTTCAAATAATTACATCTGAAAATTTAAGCAATGCTGGTTTAGTATCACAGAACTGTTAAGTCAGCATGATTTAATAAATAAAAACACATTGAATATAAATAGGACAGTAGGTTATTGACAGTTATACCGCAGTACATTAGTATTTTACAGAGCTAAAAGAAATATTATTTGAATTTAATAATTAATATTGATTTCATAATAATCTGTTTGCACGTAATGAAATATCAATAAGTTGCTAAAATTGTAACTCATTATCACAATGAAAAAGGATTTTAAAGCTTGTTTGTAAATTAAAAAAATGAATAAATTTAAATTAGATACAATTTTGAAAAAACAAAATGTGATTAAAAATTAGTTAGAATCTGTAGAATGACTGCCACAAATGAAACGTATATCACCTGATTTAATTATAATAAATAAATTATTATTAGATATTACACTAAAAATAAAGCTAATTGTATATACAATACAGTACAGAAATACATTGTACAAAGGAACTAGTAATATATACATGCTGCAATTACATCGGTATGATGCATAAATATAAACTGTGTTTATAAGAAGCAGGCTTTATGATACAACAAAATATACATTATTTTTTAATTGAATACAAATAGTATTTACAAAATTCGATGCAAAACTCATGGTATTATAAATTAGATATTTATATGCATAGCAAAAACTTAGTTTAAATATTTAATGATTAATTAGATTCAAAATTGTAGTTTATATTTCAATATCTGTCTTGTTTTCAAATTAAATTCTTTCTAGTTATAATTATATGTATATTTTTCATTTCAAATTTTTTTAAAAGTATTTCTAAACGTCATTGATGTTAAATAATTCAAGACTTGTAAAAGCGTTATAGATTTTTTTTAAAAATAATTTAAGCGAACAGCAGGATGTTTTAGCAATAGCAGGAATATATAATGTAGTTTTTACGAAATAAAAACATAGATGGCGTCACTGGAAAACCAGAACAATCGCACTCCCTCTGCCTAAACAGGCATACGTCAACGACAACAACGAAATAAAAAAATAATTATATGCTACGCTATGATAGGAAGACCTGAATTTTAATGTAAATTTTTAGTTGCAGCTTAGAATCTTTTACATTTTATAACAAAAATTAAAAAAAAAAAATTGAAACATAATACCATGAATAGATATACTAGATGTCTTAGACCAAAGCAGAAAGAAAAGATCTAAAATTATATTTTTTGTACAAATACATCGAAATACCAGAGCATCCAAAAACTGCTCCATGTCTTATCACCAAAACCTCACCAGAAGTTTCATTATTTTCCCACATGCGTCGTAGCGATGCGATCCTGTCGCATGCTTTAACTGTACAATCGAACAATGTCTATTTTGAATTTTGCCTATGTGGAGGCTTTTCTTGACTTCTTGTAGCCGAAAGAGTGGAGGTATGTTAGATGATCTTTCATTTGTTCTGCTTTCTTGATCCACTGGTTAATGACAGTGTCGAAAGGGGGGAGATCACCGTTAAAGTCAGCTGATAAAATGCTTGGCGCGAAGTATTTGTGAAGTCCATTTACATTCTTCGAATGGAACTGAAACTGCAAAGGAAAAAAAAATAATCATTGAAATGACGCTATAAAAATACGCTATGAAACAAAATGTTAAAAGAAAAATTTCGCACATCTCTTCGTTCAGTTAACTTCGTCCTTTCACATAACAAAGTCTACGCCGTACAATAATCAGATAATTACAGACCGTTTAGATATTGTACAGTGTTGATTTATTTAAGCGAAAGAACGAAGTTAATAGGACTGAGATTGGTGCAAAAATTCTCGAATAGAGAGATTATACATTTCTTCAAAGTCGGTTTGGCTACATATTTTCGCTTAAACAAATCAACACCGCATCTATTCCGCACCTCAAGTATACCTTGTATTTAAGTAGTATACTTAGCACAACGTTGATATAGCTAAGCGAGAGAACGTAGTAGACATAACGGAGATGAGTAAAACATCTTTCAATTGTCTAACTGCGCAGCTTTACACAACTTTTGGGAGTGTCTATTTTTGCATTTAGGGCAGATTCGTTACATGCCTACAATAGTTTTTTGATGATGATTCTTAAAGCATCTCCCATTTCTTTAAAGTCGATTTGGCTACATATTTTCGCTTGAACAAATCAACACCGCATCAATTCCGCACTTCAAGTATACCTTGAATTTAAATAGTATACTTAGCACAACGTTGATATAGCTAAGCGAGAGAACGTAGTAGACATAACGGAGATGTGTACAACATCTTTCTACTGTCTAATTGCGCAGCTTTACACAAATTTTGGAAGTGTCTATTTTTGCATTTAGGGCAGATTCGTAACATGTCTGCAATAGTTTTTTGATGATGATTCCTAAAGCATCTCCCATTTCTTCTAAGTCGATTTGGCTACATATTTTCGCTTAAACAAATCAACACCGTATCAATTCCGCACTTCAAGTATACCTTGTAAGTAGTATACTTAGCACAATGTTGATATAGCTAAGCGTGAGAACGTAGTAGACATAACGGAGATGAGTATAACATCTTTCTACTGTCAAATTGCGCAGCTTTACACAACTTTTGGGAGTGTCTATTTTTGCATTTAGGGCAGATTCGTTACATGTTTACAATAGTTTTTTGATGATGATTCTTAGGAGTTGGAAATTTTATTAAAAATAGTACTCACTCTGTCTTTCAATTTCTTTGTCAAAAACTGTCTCAATATACCCCAGATATATTTGAAGGGCAGACCTTCATTGACAATGTGAACTGCTCTAAATCTTGCAGGGAAGCAGTTCTGTAAATAAAAATATTTGTTTAGAAGATGGCATTTTATCAAAAATAAGTTTGGCAGAAAATGTTAACTCCAAACTCTAAAAAAACTGTGACTTAGACTACGGCACAACTTTACTTTTGCACTCTTTGTGGAAAATTGTTTTTCTAGATTTAGAAGACATCGTATTTATTCAATTTTTGGTTTGAACGGTAATTATAAAGCATCAGTATAAACAAATTTCATGTTAAAGTCAGTTTATTTATTGGCTTTTATTATGGATTAAATAATATCACTTTATAGATTTAATATATTTGGTTTTATTGCAGTTCAATTTTTTGTTGCTTTATTTGATCTGAACCTCAATACTTAAATTTATTTTTAATATGAGCAACTAATTTTTCACTATTTCCTCCGTTTTTTGATGACGTATGATCTATACGTGTATGTTACATTTCATTCAAGATGTAATTAAAATGTATAATATAGTATATCAGTATATAAATCCGTTTAATTATACACGTTAGTATTTTATTAAGAACAGTCGATCCTATTCTGAGTTTAAGACTACCAATGTTCAACTCCGTAGTCTTGCAATTTTGAACTCAATTCAGACGACAAGGGAAATCCTGATTAAAGTTTTGGGATATTGAACTAGTCCTTTGAAATGAAGTAACCCGCTTTTGAGCTTCAACTAACTTTATGAACTAACCCGCATTTGCGTTGCATGAAGTAGAAATCCATAAAAACCTCCCATGATTAGACTGATGACAAAGGGATTCTAACCCATGATCCGTCCACCAATGAGAACATTTTTTGTCAACACTGAGGAAGGTGTGAACCGGGAGTAGAATTCAAATCAATCAGCCAACACTCGGATTGAAGCTGGGTCACCTCATTACAGAGCGAGAGCTCTATCCCCTGAGCCACCACGACTTAGGAATAATATTTTCAAATTTTTTTTTTTAAAATTCAAATTAAATTACAAATATTCCACTTTATTCTTGCTTCACGTGTTCGTTTTAATTTGAATTTATCCTGAAAGCCTAATTTTACATCTGTAAAACATTTATATGAAAAGTTTAATCACCTTGTATTCTAATTATTATTGTTTTAGATTATATTAAGAATAGGACTTGTTAATAAAGCATTACTTATTTTTGAGTAAATTCTTATCATAACATATTTTCTACACCTGATTGTCTTATTTGTTTACTTTTCTAATCTTTATATTCATCGATTATCTTATTATATATCGATTATCATCTATAACCACTTCGAATTTGAAATGAATTAAAAATGGGTTAGTTAAACATTGCTGAAGGTAAAATAGTTTAAGGTTCTCGATAACATACAAAGTATACAATATTTATCCATTTTTTTTATTGTATATGTTGTTTCCGACCTAATTTCATGCCAAAATTAGGTCAATTACTTCTAAATCTGAAAGAAATATTACATAAATTGATTTAAGTTCTAGATTTACACGTGTATGTTACATTTTATTGTTTCGTAAGTTTTGAAGGATGTTTAAGATTATTTAGAGTTTAAAGTTCGCATATTGACTGTAAAGCTTATTTTAGCAATGTTTATAACTAAAATGCTTACTTATTTACTCTTAAAAGTCTTAAGTTTTGCATTTCTGTTTGGCTACATAAAATTGAACAGCTGAATATATTGCAACTTTCTTAATTAAAAAAGAATGAGCAATTACCAGATAATAATTTTCGAATTTATTTTATAAAAATCTGAAGGTATAATGTAGCAATATATTTATATTAATATTTCTTTAGTATATTGAATTGATTGTCAGTTAATTTTGGTTTCTTTTTCGTAATTAAAAGATCAAATTATAAATATTAGATAGTTAAGAAGAATATTCTTTATTAAAATTAATTTTAAAACACAGAGGGAAGTTTTTATCTTGATGCAAAATTAAAATATGACAATCAATGATACAGAAGGTGCAGTTAAAAATGTTCTAAAGCTTAAAAGGAAAGAATATCACATTCTAAAATTTATGAGCATAATTTGAAATTTACGAGATAAATTTGAATTATCTGGAGAGAATTACATAAATTTATTTAAGCTCAAGCTTTACACGTGTATGCCACATTTTATACGTTCGAAAGTTTTGAATGATGTTTAAGCTTATTATGAGTTTAAAGTTCGCATATTGACTGTAAAGCTTATTTTAGCAATGTTTTAAATAAAACTTTTATTTATTTACTGCTAAAAATGTTGAGTTTCTCCTTTCTGTTTTATATAAAATGAAACAGCTGGGTATACTGCAGCTTTCTTATTTGAAAAAAGAATGAATAATTATCAGAAAATAATTTTATAATTTATTTTTTAAGGCTCTGAACAATAATAAGTTATAATATAGCGATATATATATTTAAACATTTCTTTAGTGCTGAATTGATTGTTAGTTGATTTTGGTTTAGTTATCGTACTTTGAAAATAAAATTATAAATATTAGATAGTTACGAAGAATATTATTTATTGAAATTATTTTTAAAACACAGAAGGAGGTTTTTATCTTGATGTAAAATTAAAATATGACAATCAATGATACAGAAGGTGTAGTTAAGAATGTTCTAAAGCTTAAAGGGAAACAATATCACATTCTAAAATTTATGAGCATAATTTGAAATTTACGAGACAAATTTGAATTACCTGGAGAGCTTCTGCAAAGAGCCATAGGTAAGTAGGTGAAAGAGCCATTGTTTGAGCGTATGAAAATCCCTTGAAGTCTACAATGACTTTGAATCCAGCAACTTGAGTTGATGGACTATGAACTGCATGAAGAAGAGCGGTTGTAGTTGCTCTCATGATGTCACCCATGCTATGCTTGCAAGGATCCCAGTTAGCTACAAATAAATACAATAAGCAAATTTTATTTACATCGAAAAATGTGCATACTATATACAGAATAACACATAATTTTAAAATCATTCCAAAACCGAAAAAAAAGGAATACACATTAGGTATCACAAATTAATATTTAAATGCAGAAAAAAAAAACACTGTCGAAAATTTACAAATTGCTATTAAGGAAAAAAGGACTAAAACATTAAAGTCTGTTTGATTGCCGGAGGCTGATGCAAATCCTATGAAAAGCATATTTTTAAGAGTAACACTTCTTAATATTTTTAAGAGTTGCTGCACATTTATTAACAATTAAATATGTCTACAAATTACTACTTAATTACGTTATTGAATATTTATTAAAATTTAAAAAGACAACACTCATTTAAATAGGCTAGTCCCACTTCTTAATGCTTAAAGATGTTAGTAAGCAATGCTGGACAGTGGTTAAGACACTGAGCTATCGTTGTAAAGAACAGAGAATCCCCAGTAACGGCTTAAAATCCACACAGCTTCAGGTTGGTGGGTATCAGCTGGTCTAGAAAGTAAAGGCGGCTAGTGGGCAATGTTGACTACGGTTCCCTCATCATACCGTTGGACTAGAAATCGTGGAGATTCACCCTACCTCCAAGATCCCGCTGGCCAACTACTGGCTATTTCAGAAGTGTTTTTTACTTTTTTTTAATAATTATTTATAAAAATTCTACAATTTAAAAAAGTATTTCTCAAAATAGAACAAAATGTGCCAAAATAGCTCCGAAACAATTATAGTTGAATTTAAAAACCCCAAGTACGCATAATTGAGCCACGATGGCTCAGGGGATAGAGCATTCGCCTTCCAATGAGGCGAACCGGGTTCGAATCCCAGTCGATATGAATTCCGCAATCGGCTTGCAGCGATCACAGTGCTGACGTGAATTATCCTCAGTGGTAGACGGATCATGGGTTAGAATCCCCTTGCCATCAGGCTAACAATGGGAGGTTCTCGTGGTCTTCCTATCCATATAACGCAACTCCCTCAAAAAAGTCCTCCACGAAGGCAAATTTCTTCCAATGCTCGATCCAGGAGTTCTCTTGTCTTCTGGATTGGGTTAAAAATTATAAGGCTACGGAGTTGAACATTAGTAGTCGTAAACCCATAAAAATTGGGTCGGCTGTTCAACGACAGTTATAAAAAGAAATTAAAAAAGTACTCATGATTGAATATGGTGATATGCTTAAAATATCATATACACATTTTTGAGACTATGCCCACTCTATTACTCAAAATGAGTACATGATGATAAGTGACTAAATTTTTGAGACCATTTCTTTGATAAAAAAGGAGTACATGCTGTTTTGAGCATGTGGAGTACACGGGGATGCACACGAGATTTTCACATTCGACTATATTTGTTTCGGAGCTATTTTGATGCATTTTAGCAGTGCATTTTAGCTTTTTAACAGTGTGAGGGGTATTCATTTATATTTAAATCAGATAATCTATATTTATTTGTATGCTCGCTTTTAAAAATATCGAATAGCACTTAACATACTAATGCTAATTCATTGATAAAAAAATGTATAAAAACTTACTTGTTTTAATAATTAGTATGACACATCCTTCTTCATCTCTGTAAGGCAAGAAACCGACAAGTCCATCCTTGTACACGCTTTTACAATCTTCGAAGTCATAATTGTCGTACAACTCATAGTGTTTCGCCTTGACATGGTAGAAAGTTTTGAAGAGGTTGAAAGACTTTTTAACATCGAATTTTCTTGCTCGTAAGAATGTCAGTAGAAAATCATCATCGTCCAAGAAGACTAGGTTTTTTTCATCTATTGAAAATAAAGCATGAGTTATAATTCGTTTAATAAAACGAAAAGATGAGCCGCTGACGTCTCAGTGTATAAGGTACTGAACTGCCATTAAGAGGAATTGGGGTTCGATTCCCAGTGGCGGCTTGAAACTCACCCAGCTTCAGATCTATGAGTACCAACTTATCTGGGAAGTAAAGGCAGCATTTTTTAGCATGCATGCATAAATTTCATGCATCTTATTTTTAGCATGCATGCATAACAACTGCACCCAACATTTTTTGAAATTTTATAAAAATTTAAGAAATTTACTCATTAGTGATCAATGTTAAATGGTTTAAAAGAAAAAAATGAAACAAAAAACCGTTGTTAAAATTTGATGGATTGTTACCGAGAGAAGTGATTATCCAAAAACAGTTTGATTGCCAGTTAAAACTCAAAGGCATTTTGAATAAACGCATTTAATTTCTTCTCTGTTTTAATTTGTAATCAAATTATTTTGATATTTTTAATATCTCCTTTCTGAGCCGTGATAGTGCAGGGAAAAAAGCATTCGCTTTCTAATGAAGTGAACAGGCTTCGAATCCTAGCGATGGCTGGTCGATACGAATTCTGCATCCGGCTTGCACCGACCACAGTGCTGACGTAAGTTATCCTGTTATCCTGAGTGGTAGACGGATCATGGATTAGAGTACCCTGGTCATTAGGCTAATTATGGGAAGTTTTCGTGATTATCCTCAACATGCAACGCGAATGCGGATTAGTTCCATTAAAAAATCCTCCACGAAGCCAAATTTGTCTCAATACTTGATCCCGGAGTTCCCTTGTCTTCTGGATTGGGTTCAAAATTACAAGGCTATGGAGTTGGACTTTAGTAATCGCAAACCGAAACAACTGAAGCGGCTGTTCAACGACGGCTGTAAAGTAAAATCTCACTTTTCTGGTTAATTGTTTACCTGATGTAAAAAACATTTTCTTAGTTTTAATAACTGTTTGAATTTTTAGTAATTTTTGCCCTCTTTTGTGTAAATTATTTGTCTTCATTTTTGTAATTGATTCTTAAAATATTAATTAAAGGTAGTGGTTGGGATAAACCTTGTGTAAAACTTAAAGTTAGAATTACTTATCTCGACACTTTATTGTAATTGTTGGGGGTAAAAAAAAAGAATCAAAATTTAATAAATACAATTTAAGTACTATAAATATGATTCCCTAATTTTTATTAATCATTAAAATTTTATTACTTAATTTTTTTAAAATTTGCAACGTTGCATTTTCTTCCTTGTAGATTTCAATAAATGGTAAAAAAATTTAAATGATTAATTTCATGTTTGATCTAAAAGAAACTTGAATATGAAATGAAAAACATACTACATACAATGCAAAATTATACATGCAAGTGGTTTTTTTTCTTAAATAAGTAAAAAAAGAACTTTAACTTTATAAAGCGATAAGAAATTATACTCTAAATAAATATTTAATTTTTATTTCAGGTATTATGATCGCAACTGTGCTTGTTGCCTTAGAAAAATAAAGACTAGTCCTTTATTTAGAAAGGATTAATGAAGAAAGGAAATGATTAAGTCTGTTCATCAATCAAGAATTGGAATTTTAAATCAGATTATACCAGTTTATTATTTTGTTACTTTTGGTGCTTAAAAATTCTTTTAGTAGTAAAAAAAGATTAAATAAAAATGTAAATCTTTATGAGAAACAAACAGCGGTTGCCTAGTTAACTTTTTTTATAAATTCAAAATAAACTGTTAATGAATTATATAGTTCTGACGTAATTTATTCATAAAAATTTGATAAATAAGAAATGGCATACGTATGTTATTAATTATGCAAAATGCCTGCCGATCAGGAAGATTGATTTATATTTGTTCCAACTTAATGCAATGAATTACTTAAACTCAATAAATTAATTAAATTTTTAACTATATTACAGTTAAGTTTAATACATTTAATTCTCTAAAATATTGGATTATAAACACACCTTTTAACATTGTTCGCATAAGTTTTAGGCTATGAACTCTAGTATCCTCATCTTCAAAGAGTTCTGCTTTCGCTCTTTTTCTCAGATCATCAGTCATATATGGCAGTTCATAAGGAAGAAATTTCATGTGAGGCTCATATGATCTTGGAATTATTTCTGATGGCATCTTGAAATCGGAACAGATAATTCAAAACCAAAAGCACTTAATATACTAGACTTAGAACTACTTAAGTCCTAGAATGAAAAAAAGGAAAACATTATTAAGATAAATTAAAATAAATTTTATTCATTTTGAAACAAACATATAAAGTTTGATACACTATTAGAAATTTTGAAGTGTATTAAACTTCACAATTTAAAGTGTATTAATTTTTTAAACTTGACGCACGAATAGTCAAAATTGTTTCAACAGAAAAACTAATTCATTAAAGATAATTGAAAATAATCGATTATCGCTCAAACGATAGTTGATTTAATATTATTTATCGTTTGAAATTTTTGAACGAGTTGAAGCATAATACCGAACTTGCTGCACAAGTCGTCAGAACCATTTCATTACTAACGATAATGAAATAATTAATAACTATAATTAAATAACGATAATTAGTTATCATTCAAACGATAATTTATTGGATATCAATTATCATTTGAAATTTTTGAGCTAGTTCAACCAAAAGTATCGTTCGAATTTGTTGCACGAACCGTCAAAATCATTTCGACAGTAACAATAATTGAATAATTAATAACGATAATTGATTGACGAAAATTGATAAGAAATTTACGATCGAACTATAATTGATTACCAATTATCATTCAAATAATAATCGGTTATCATTCAAATGGAAATTGATCAGTTATTGTTAATTGATTTAATATCAATTATCGTTTGAAATTTTGCATCAAGTGTTCTGAATCACTACTAACTGAAATATTTTTGCTGGAAAATTGAAATTTAAACTGCTACATTTTGAAAAAAATAAACACCAAACAACGCATAAGTAAACAAATATTTAAGCATTAGGCAAATGTATTATTATAGTTTTAAACTTTTAATCAATATGAAGTGGAATAAAGCATTTATTATATGAAATATTATTGATTACACAGAGAAAAATTTTTTGGTAAAATTGCCGTACTTTATTGTATTGTAACTTACAAAAAGAATTGCAGTTAATAAAACCAAAATATATGGTATTTAAATCATTTATTTGGTAAGTTTTTCATATATATGGTAACAGTTCACCGAAAATTTTGGTTTTCAAAATTATGGCTCTTATTATCACACATTCATTAAAAAATACAAAACTGGAAATTAAATTTATCCGAATAAATAGTTTCATGCTCCAAGGTATAATGATAAAATTCCCAAATTTTACCACATTTACTAATTTTTAACTAATATTATAAAACCATATTTTATTGTAAATGTTCAAAACATTTCGATAGAAATTACGGGGCTATTTGGTGTTCCTATGGAAGCAGAAACATAGTAGATTTTACCGTATTCCAGTAGTTTTAACCATATTTTACCTCAGTGTATAAACAGAAAAATTTGATTGAAAAACTGAATGCTACGTTTTTTTCTAAAAGAAATAGTAATTGGCAAAATCGAATTTTTAATAAAAATTAAGCATGCGTATTAATAAAAAGTTTTTTAATAAAAATATATATTTAAATGTATTACCAAGTTATCTTTTAATTAAAATACTACAATTTAAATATTTTGTCTTTTATTAAAGGCTGAATTATAAAATCACACTGAATAAATGAAGCATTACTAATGAATAGAAAAGCTTTTACCTTAAACTCCAATATTTCGTGTTTAAAGATAATTATAAATTTTATTTGGCAACAATAAATGCTTTTATGTTTTAACTCTCATTTTTAAATTGTTTTTAAGGGGCTCTAGTTTTTATAAAGTAATATCGTATACGTCACTGCTCATTGAACGACGCGTGTAACTAGATTTTTTATTTATTTACTTCATGATTTATTTGGTGCTGTTATCTTTAACGTATCTGGTTGTTGCATAAGCAAAACAGTGCTCATGCGCAATTGCATTATATTCTGATTAGATATTCAATGCTTTGAAAGATTCCTTCGACGTAAGAGATAACGTATAGCCATGAAAAAATATATGCATAAAATTTAAAAAGTGGAATATTTAATTGTAATTTATTTCAAATTATCTAGGCGAATTTACATATGTTACGTTTTCCTATTATTACATATATTTATTAGGCTAGTTGAAAAATCTAACAAGTGTTACTGGTGTTTTGTTATGTGTGAAGCCTATTGCGAAGGTCTTCAGTATTTTTTAATCTGCTTAATATTTTTACGCGTATTACAATAAACCTATATGACTTTAGACGAATTGAAAATGTGTGAAGATTTACTTAGCGAGACTGAATTTGATTAGGCTTATTGCGTTAAGACTTTACGTAGGATATTTGCAATAAATTTTCCTTACTAAAGGCTTATTGCAAATTGCCTGAAATAAATCAGGTATTGAGCAACGATAGATATATTTTCTGATTAGCTTAAAAATGCTGGCTCATTGCAAAAAACCTAAAAAGTGTCCGATTGATTAGTAAATGTTGGTAATTTTAATAAATAGCCTGGGGTATTGAAAGATGGCAGCGAAGGGGGGGATTGTTAATTTATGCTAGTATATTATACATAAGCTAACTCTCACGAATTTAAATTTACATTTCCTTCTAGACTTTATTTGTGACCAAAATGTCGATAATTATAATAAATTATTTTATAAATACCTGTATCTGAGAAGGTGCTCTATTTAGAATCTCTATATATTTCAATTATTTTGTTATCAAGTAAATAAAGAAACTTACAGTGCTTAGAAATAAATTTTGAAAAAAAAAGAAAGGAAAAAGTAAAAATTAAATGTTATGTGTCAATTAAGGTCTAAGTTTTTAACTAAATTGAAATTTGAAGTTTGTTATCTATATTTGAATTTTAAAAAATTTAAATTCAATTTAAAATGATTGTCTTACTTTCAATTAATCTTAGAAACTTGTCTGGTAACAGAATGAAATATTTCAAAGTATTACTTAAGTTAATATTAAAAATACCAAGTTTCGCTTCTACTTAAGGTAACTGTTAACCGTTGGTATGAATAATTAAAGAAAAATGAATTTCTTAATAATAAATCCTAAAATTATTTTTAATTGCTAAATTTTGTGAAGATAGACCTAAATGTCTAAATAAAGTTTTGTCTGTGTAAACACTTTAACTAAGTATACATATTTCAACGTTGAATAAGTCTTAAAATTACTTTTGAATGTAAATTACATTTTTGAATATAAATTATTTTTGAACACCATTTTGAATATACTTTTAAATTACAATAGAATAATTAAGGTTTGAATCTTTCAATATTTTATCTATACATATTATTATAATGAATCTTTCAATATTTTATCTATACATATTTTATCTATACATTTTTAATATGATGTAAATATTTACATCATATTAAAAACTTTTCAAGGCAATAACAAGGTTACTGGAAGGAATATTATAAATCTTATCAGTTTACAATGGTATTTCCATTGATGAATACTTCACTTCAGTGCAGCGTTTAAAGATATTTTCTCATCATTGATTAAATGGAAATAAAAATGTTTTCGTAAAACGCATTTTTGAAAAAAAATTACATAAAAAAAAAATTAACATCTGAAAGAAAAAGAAATGACGTAGTATGCGAAGATTTCGGCTTGTTTTCCTTGTTTTCGTCCAAATCTTTTAAGATAAAATATGAAAAAATATTTTTCATCTAAACCTTTTCAAGGTTTGAGTTTTGTTTAGTAGAATAATTAAGTGATAATATTTTTATGTTAACACTGGCATATTGTATAGAATGGAAATTGCAAATATCTTTATATATTAATTTGAAGAAATTGCTTAATATGGCATAGCATTTTTTATTGATTATTTTGTTTTTTGTTGTTCTGTTAAATTTGGGTCAGTTTTATTCTATTTTTCATTTAATTAATTTTTGGTAGTTAATTTAGCTTTACTTTTAATTAATTAAATTTTTAATCAATTTAATTTAAATTTATTTTGGCCAATAAAGAACAGATTCAGATATTGGATGTATTTCTGTTTCATCTTTGCTACCATTAGTAAACTTTATATTTATATATCGGAATGGACATAAACAAGTGAATCGTGTAATTGTTTTTAGTAAAAATCAGTTGCGTTTGTCACATATGATGAGGAAAACCACGAAAACATTTATGTCCGAAAGTGATTTGCTATCCAATAAGCAAGGGTAAAGTTGAAAAAAAGTTTGATAAAATTAGAATTAGAACTCCATCCTAATCACAATTTTTTTGGAGTTATACTATAAAAAGTAAATAGAAATTTAATTAAGTTTGAACTGTAGCCATTTACTGCGATGTAATTTTAAACAAGAAAATAACGTTAAATTGAGAAACTCAAACCGCATTTTAGAATCTCTCTAGCACTTTTATACTCACAAAATCACTATAGCATAGTTTAAGGGAAAAACTAATTAAAAAAAAAAATATTTTTTCGAAAAAAGCGGTTTGCGATATCCGTCAGATATTTTAAATCGTCGGCGTCTTTCAAAACATGGTTATGATTTTGTCTACCAACACTTTTAGTTGTGGTAGAAATTGCAGTGATTAAAATGACATTTTTTAAAAACTAATCTATATTATATAAAACCCTAATACGTATGTATCAATAAAACCGATGATATTTATTTTCTCGCCTTGGCAACAGTTTTCATTTTTAAATGATAGGCTTTGGCGAGCAAGAGCACGTAGTGAGCATCATATGGCTAATCGGGTGAATTGTCACCGAATTATCAAAAAAATTTTCACAAAACTATCTTCATCGAAGCCGATGCTTTACATCCGGCGTTCAGTACTATTTCATATTGTTTTACAACACATGGTTTTAGCCCTCTGGTGAGAAAGACTTTAAAACAAAACTTACGAAAGTTACTTTTCTCAACAACTGAAATTTAGAATAGTGTGATTAAGAAAAATATGTGAACTGTTTGCAATTTCAAATTAATATTGAAATGCCCAGGTTTAGAATTTCCTACAGTTAAAGTTTTCGGAGCTTCAGTGTTCAAAAAAGTATACAAAAGCTAGACGTTAAGAACGTATCCAATGCGCGAGCAAAGCGAGCATCGGATTGCGAAGCAATCCGAAATGAACTGCGAAAGCAGTTCAGAGGGG